AAGTTTACTAAATCTTACAGGATTGAATAAGGGATGCAATTCTCCTTTTAAGTAAATGCCAGCAATGTGTTTTCCAAGTTTCTTTTTTATTCTTTTTTTTTTTTTTAACAGAGCTTTTTGAGCTTGTGTTACTCATAGAGAACAAGTGTAAACTTAAAAACTCACAAAAGTGGAAAAGGATAGAAAGTACTGTCATATTTTTTTACTAAAATCACTGAAGAAGTGTTCCTGCCTTCCCAAACCAAAGATTCCCATGTAAGTGATAAATATCTGAATTAATAYAAATAGGTCTATGCAAATGTATTATTACCTACCTACGATATTAAATGAGCTAGAAATGTGTTGGCATTCTCATCACAGGAGCACTGGGTGTCTATATGAAGGCCTRTATTCAAGTAAAATGCAAGTGAATATACAGTTTGCATGGAAACAATACCATGCAACTTTAGACAACAGATTTTCACTCCTGAGTAAATAATATCCTCCATAAAACACTTCCCAGTAATAAAAGTTCTTCTCCACAAAGCTATCGGAGAGAGTTCAAAGCGTCTATGAATCACGTTAAATAAAGGTACACTGTGAATCAAAGTGAGGCAATTGTACAATAGAGTTTTCTTGCAAACAGGACTAAGGAGGGCCCACTTTCATGTCTCAGTTTACACCTCTGATCCTTAAGCACGCTCTTCTTTGATCTTTGATGAATATCTGTTATCATCATGTTATTTTAAAAGCCATGACTTTTTTTSTCTCCTCTTAATGGCAAGTATCTCATCTACTATATTTTCTTTGGAACAAAATAGGCAATAGAAAGGTGGTGGGGAATGTGTTTTTCAACAGCATACCTCTGCTCTGGCCTTGTCATTTGCAGTTCAAGAAGGCGAAAATCACCCCAATACACCTATTTCAAATGCGGCACAGAATGTCAGGAAAAATTAGAGTTATAGGGGTGAATTTTGGTCGCAGAGAAGAAAACAATCAGAAATAATACTGAGTTTTTTTCAAGAAAATAAGATGCCACCTTTCCCCTGTGGATGGCTACCACGGGGGCACAGGAAGCAAGATGTCCGTGAATCGCCTTTCATTGATTTCCCACAGCGTGTCCCGTAGGATCGCTGGATCAGCCTCGGATGTCACTCCTGAGGACGCGCCCGGGTGAGAGCCCTGCTCCTCCCGTGCRGGTGAACACGACCCACGCGGGTTCGGTCCCTGGGGGCCGCCGCCACCTGGCCCTTCCCGCCGCGGGGGGGAGGGCATCGTGGGGCGCGGAGAGCAACGCCCTGTCGGGCACCCCCTTCCCCCCGCGGAGCACGCACCGCGCATCCCTGCGAGCCGGGGGCTGTGCGCAGCGCGGCGGGGGCGCCTGCTCGGCTCACAGCGCGCAATTAACCCGCGTGTTAATGAACCCGAGCTGGCCCTCGGAGCGCGGGAGGCTGCAGGGGGTAAGAGGCGGCCGGAGCAGCTGCGGGGGCTCCTGGCTGTGCAGCGCCAGGGCAGGGAAGCGCTCCGCGCCGGCGACGGCACGCAGCAACACGCTCACGGGAGAGAAAGTCTGCTCCCAGAGCTCCGCCGGAGTAGCATTTCCCACAGCCTACAGAGCTGGGGGTGTGGAAAAGATCAACCGCAAGGGCTGCAGTTAAAGGAGCCTGTGCTCTGGTTTTAAACAGAAGAGGGAGGAAAAAAGAGCGGTGCTAAATCTGCGTGTCCTTAAGACATTTTAACCGGTGGGGGCTGCGTGCAGATTCACACATRAAASCTGCAATCARTCAKAGAATCATAGATTCATAGAACGGTTTGGGTCGAAAGGGACCTTAAAGATCACCTAGTCCAACCCCCSCTGCCATGGGCAGGGGTAGCACYCAYTAGATCMTGTTGCTCAGAGCCCCATCCAATCTCGTCTTGAACAGTTCCAAGRATTGGAATGCTGGAAACAGTGCTTGCAGTGCCCAGTCCTGCAGTAGATTTGTCCAGAGCATTGCTCCTGAGCAATCTCTCTCKCTCCATGTGCAAGGCGAACTGCAGGTCCTGAGAAGGGTGAGAAGGGTGTTATCAGTGCCCCTGCCCTTACATCCCGCATCGGGATTTGGCATCAATCGCACACTGTTCCGCACAGCTGACCGCGTGGACACTGCCGCTCTTTGATGCAAACCCACCGAATTTCAGTCAGAAACCTGCAGCGTTATGCTTCTCCGTAAAACCACAGGGGGGAAAAATAATTAAACAAATAACATTCGCGGGTTCGCTAGCTCCGCGTTTTCCCACGTCTGACAGAAGAGGCTCAGCGCTGCCACCTCGCGTTCCGTGCATCCCCGGCCTCATCGAGCCTGCAGGAAATAGAATGGAGTTTGAAGGCTTTTTAAGTTGTAAAATGCGGAGAAGTCTTGCCARTGCTCCTAAAACTTCATTTCTAGACGGAAGCGGAATGCTTGCGCTTKATGACTAGGCTTAAAAATTTGGGGAGCTGGAAGGTACTTCCAGTCCGCCACTTAGGATTAGGGGTGGAAGCAATTAACTCTGAGGAAACAGCTAMGAAATTGTAGTAAAATTATTTATAGAGTTTCACATCGTCTTCTTACACTTGCTTTATTAAGCAGCCCTAAATTTCCCTTTTGTGAAGTTTTCGTTCAGGCAATAATATTCTTCTGTCCATCCCACATACACACTTTTTGAATCAGGWTTAAATTGATGTGGCTGCTTTGATCAGGAAAACATTTAACTCYTCACCTGGTGATGAATTTTATTCATGGTGGTCAAGATCTTGCAGAACTTAACACAACCAAGTGAAAAGCTTCTTAAGCTTTTCCTTTCTGTTTGCCTATCAGCTTGGTTTCTGCTTCTTTTGCTTTAATTTGTGTCTAGAAATAYGAGAATATTTTACTTGCTTTTCAGWTTAAASCAATTGATATTTATATGTAAAATACGACAGTTGGGGGTTGAAGTCCTGCTGGATACCGTGCTGACAGGTGGAGCAGCCAGAAGCTACTGGCTGCTCCCCATCCCAGTTTTTCATGCTGCTGCACATGAATATCAAGAGTGTAAGCAAAAGCCAGTGCTTACTCCTGGCCACAAGTCCACTGCGAGCCTCCATTTCTATAGATGTTGGTGGTGTAAGGTAGAACAGATTTGATCTCAGCTTTAGGGCTGCAGGGGAAAAACACAGAATGATTTACCACTTATGAAGTGTAAAGGTGAGAAACTCCACTGATGTCACTGGATGTCGTCAACCTAGAGGAAAGCAGTATTTTATCCAGTYTTGACCAGAGGCTGTATGAGGAACCAATGTATTAGTTTTGCAAGCAAACCTATAATTTATTTTGTATCTCTGTAAACAGTCTCATTTATGTAGGTGGCCTACCCAGGGAGGTACTGAGAATTCAGGATTTTTCTCAGCACATCACAGCAGTGTACTTTAAGTCGAGTGTGAGATGTTAATATTCAAAGCCTGTTCTCAAGYCAGCTAGAAACCCTGCTGAAGGATCCTACCACAAGTTTTCTTGCAAAAAGGTGTAATTTATTTTTAGACCTCTTAGACATTTTGGCTGTATCCAACCATTATTTTGCTTCTGATTTCAAAAGTGTTTTTAACTGGTGTTGTATGGAACAAAAATTTTCACAGCTGTTTTGCCTAACAGCTTTTCCCTGGCCTGATGAATGATGTGAGGAGTCTTTGCGAAGTAACACTGCCACTGTTTTTATGGTCCYACTGTCTCTCCCCTCCCCTTTACCTGAATATTGGAGGGGGAGGGGWTGATGCCACGAGGCCTTAAGGGGTGCTGCACAGTGCCTGACCTCGCTGCCCTGCCTTCCTTCACTATTGCTCATGGTAGGGCAGAGGGAGTGGTCCATGAGMTCAAACAGCAATCCCTTGCGCCCTAGCAAGGGCTCCGGAGAGGGGGCCCTGCTCGGCGGGGCGGACTGGCACAGGCACGGCAGCACCTCCGCCCCAGGGCCGGTACCTGCCTGCCGGCTGCGCWCCGCTTCTTCGTCCCGCGCCCCCTCTCGCTCTCTGGGGACTCGGCGGGGCGGGGCCGGGACCCCCAGCCACAGCCTCTCCCCGGGATCGGGCATCGCGGCGGGACCGCGGCGTGCGGGAGTGGCAGGTAGCGAAAAGCAGAAGGATCGGAGTATAAAAAGGCGATAAGGGCAACACCTCTTCCCCGCTCCGCGCCGGGGAATTTGGGGTGAGTGGCAGCGGCTGCTCAGCGTCGCGACCAGTGCGGGGCCGGGCGCTCCGCGGGAGGTGCCGCCGCCTGTCCCGTCCCACCCTCTGCGCCGCTCCGCTCCGGCTCCACGGCGGAGGGGGCGTGACGGCGGCGCCTCRCGGATGCTTCTCCAGGGGTGGCGACCCCTCCGTGACACTGCGCGTGTGGGCGTGGGGGCGGCCACGGGGCGCTCTCCGACATCYCCCGGGCAGCGCTGCCCGCTGGGAGTGCGGTGGATCCGGGGCGGCAGGAACACCCTCCCGGCCCTTTGTGCGGGCAGGTGTCCCCGCTCGCCGCCGCGCAGCCACGGCGCGCGGGGGGCGGGACGGCTCGGTCCCCCTCTCTTTTCTTTTTTTCTGTTTGCTTTAAATTATTTGCATTATGATGATTTTTGCTGATTTCCTGATTTCTTTTTCCCGGGCAGGGAGGAGGGGAGGGAGGAGCGCGGCCGGGGGGCGGAGGGTAGGGGGGTCTCGGGCACGTGCGCGGCGAGGCGCAGGGCGGCGCGCGGAGCTGCCCTCCTGCCCCTTTTAAAAAGTTCGCCCCGCCGCCGGGAATGAGGTCAGCACGGGCGCTTCCCATTGCACGCGGCCATTATTACCGCTCCGCGCCCGCCGCCAATCCCGGGGAGGCGGGCGGGGCTTGGCACGCGGAGGGCGTTGGATACAGCGCGCGATTGGCCGCGGGGCGGGCTGCGAAAGGATAAAGCGGCGCGGGGTGGGCGCGGGGTCCGCTCTCAGCTGCGGCCGGCGGAGCGCGGTGTGCGGGGGGCGCGGGGCAGCGCCCGGCGGGCGGACGAGCGCGGGGGGCGGCGGCGGCTCCGCGGGGCTCCGCGCGCGCGGAGCGGCAGCAGCAGCAGCAGCAGCACCACCACCACCGCCGTCGGCAGAGGAGGAGGAGGAGGAGGAGGACGGGGCTGGGCGCCCGGCTCGCCGCTCTTCCTGCCGGGGACGTACACACTCGTTCATGCACGAGCGCTTTTTTATTTTTCTTTTTCTACGGCAATTTTTTCAAATACTATTTTTTTCCTTATTATTTTTTTTCCTTATCCCGAGGGGTTTCATTTTCGCTCGGTACCTCGCAACTGCCAAATCCAACCTGCACAAACTCCTGGCCGTCGATCCCGCCGCCACCACGGGTCCTGGAGCCGGGATTTTCGGGGCTTCGGGGGCGCGCCGCCTCCCCCCTCCCCCGCGGCGGTGCACGCTGGCCGTGCCCAGCGCTGAGAGACTTTCGGCGGCAGGCGTGCCGCTCTCCTGAAACGCCGGGGGCAGGCGGAACGCACTTGTGAACTGGACCAGCTGCTTCGGGGAGGGGGTAAACCCGGTGTGGTGAGGAAAAAAAGCAGACCGACACCCCCCTCCAAAAAAAAAACCAAAACCCAAACCAAAAAARCCCAAAACACCCCAAGGAAAAAAAAAAAGCAAACTTGGACGAGCGGCTCGCGGCGCTGCTTTTGCAGAAACTCTTGTCTGACCGCGGGCGGCCCCGCCGCTCCTGCTGCTGCCGCCGCCTCGAGGGGGACAGGACCGCGCCGCCGGGGACGAGGCGCCGGTGTGGAAGTACAAGTGGTGCGGGGAGCGGGGGCGCGGCCGCGGGGGGCTGCGCTGTCCCGGTGCCGTTGTGAGAAGTTGCGCGCCCTGCCCCGCGCCGGAGCGGCGCTGAGCTCCGGAGCGGCGCTGAGCCCCGGCGAGCCCCCCGCCGCCGCCGCGATGGTGCAGCAGACCAACACGGCGGAGAACACGGAGGCGCTGCTGGCCGCCGAGACCTCCGACTCTGGGGCCGGCATCGAGCTGGGCATCGCCTCCTCCCCCACGCCGGGTTCCACCGCCTCCACGGGGGGCAAGGCGGATGACCCGAGCTGGTGCAAGACGCCCAGCGGGCACATAAAGCGGCCCATGAATGCCTTCATGGTTTGGTCCCAGATCGAGCGGCGAAAGATCATGGAGCAGTCCCCCGACATGCACAACGCCGAGATCTCCAAGCGCCTGGGCAAGCGCTGGAAGCTGCTCAAGGACAGCGACAAGATCCCCTTCATCCGGGAGGCGGAGCGGCTGCGCCTCAAGCACATGGCGGACTACCCTGACTACAAGTACCGGCCCAGGAAGAAGGTGAAGTCGGGCAACAGCTCTGCCAAGCCCGGCGACAAGGCGGACAAGGGCGGCGGGGGCGGCGCCGGCGGGGGCAGCGCGGGCGGCGGCTCCGGCGGCCCCGCGGCCCCCGCCAAACCCGCCCCGAAGAAGGGCGGCGGCGGCGGCTCCAAGCCCTCCCCCGCGGGCGGCGGCGGCGCGGGAGCGGGCGGCAAGCCCCACGGCAAGGCGGCGGGGGGCAAGGCCGCCCCCTTCCCCGGGGAGCCGTCGGCCGCGCTGCTGCCGCCCGAGCACCAGGCGCTCTACAAGCCCCGGGGAGCGGCGGGCGCGCCCTCGGGAACCGGTAAGCCGCTGGCCGAGAAGAAGCTGAAGCGGGTCTACATCTTTGGGAGCGGGCAAGCGGCGGCCTCCTCCGCCTCCCCCGGCGGCGCCGTGCCCGGCAGCCCCACCCTGAGCAGCTCGGCGGAGGCCGGCGAYCCCTTGAGCCTCTACGAGGAAGGGGGCGGCGGCGCCGGCCGGCCCGACGGGGACTGCGGCGGAGTCGCCTGCCCCTCGCCCTCGGGCTCCGGGTCGCCCTCGGATCACCGCAGCTACACCAGCTTGCGCGCTTCCTCCCCGGCCCCCTCGACGCCGCATTCCTCCGCGTCCTCCCACTCCTCCTCCTCTTCCTCATCCGGCTCCTCTTCGTCGGACGAYGAGTTTGAAGACGACCTCTTGGACCTGAACCCCAGCCCCGGCTTTGAGAGCATGTCCCTGGGCAGCTTCAGCTCCTCGGTGCTCGACCGGGACCTGGATTTTAACTTTGAGCCCGGCTCGGGCTCGCACTTTGAGTTCCCGGACTATTGCACGCCGGAGGTAAGTGAGATGATCTCGGGGGACTGGCTGGAATCCAGCATTTCCAACCTGGTCTTCACTTACTGAGGCGAGAGCCGGGCCCTGCTGGAGGAGGCACCGGCGCGCGTGGCTGTCGGCAGGACTCGCCCACCCCGCCGGGCTCTTTTGTCGTTTTCTGTTTCGTTTGGTGTTTGTGTTTTGGGTTTTTTTTTTAGGGGGGGAGGAGGTGTTTTGTTTGTTTCTGGGAACGGGCTGTTGAGAGACTGCTTCTTGTGCTCGGGGAAGGAGCGGGATCGCCCTCTCCTTTCGGACAGGCCGACAGTCCSCTTCCTCCGGCTGCAGACGGACCCGCACACACCCCCTCCGAGAGAGGAGTCTGACGGTGCTTTTTGAGAGACTGGCGGGAGCGAAACGCTGTCCTTTTCCATTTTTTTTGTTTCCTGAAAAGAGAGAAATGGGGAGGGAGGGGAAAACCACACACACCTCTGGGTTCTTTTTTTTGCCCATTTTATACGAATAAAGGGGCGGGGGAGCGATGCGTTGTGCTGAGCGCACACTGGATGTCTTGAGCATTTCGCCCTTTCCTGCGAAAGAGCGATCAGAACTGCTTGGGAAAAAAAAAAAAAAAAAGAAGAGAAAATCCACCTTGCAAAACCCTTTGCAAGGTTCACGTTTGTGGGGGAGAAATCCTGCCCAAGTTTCTTCTGCGGTGAGAGAAGGCAACAATGCTGGGAGGAGAAGGAGGAGGCGGATGGAGCTGGACTGAGATCGTATTTAGGCGGAGAAGAGCCAGACTTACACTTGAGAGCTGTCTTGGAAATACGGTGGGGGGAAATAATAATAAACTGAAATGGATTTGCACGTACAGATGAGGTGGTGGCAGCGCTTTTCTCAGTCACCTCGTGTAATATGTAGAGAGAAAAATAAGGCTGAAACTTCAAGAACACTGAAAACTTCTTTTGAAACAGAGACCGAATAGGAACAGTTTCTGTCATGATGTGGTACAGGGGAAATGGAGGGCGATGGCTTTTGCAAAAAAAAAAAAAAACAAAAACCCGAAAATACAAAAAAAAAGAAGTAGTTTTTTTTCTTCTTACTCAGAATCGTGATGGTGTTGGATTATTTCACTGGTGGGGTTTAATATAGCATGTTATACTGTCTATCTTTTCAAGATTTCTGTAAGACTGTTGAACAGTTAAAAAACAAGACTAGTGTTAGGATAATATAAAAGCAGATAGATGGCGCTATGTTTGATTCCTACAAAAATATCACCAGCTTTTTTTCATTCTTAACTCTTTAAAGGATTCAAACGCAACTCAAATCTGTGCTGGACTTTAAAAAAATGAAAATTCAGGACCAAATTTTTTCTCAGAGTATGTATGTGTTTGTTCCTTATAGCTGTAAATGAAAAGACTGTTTTTTCTCACCGATGCTCCATCCTCGTATTGGTTTTTTTTTTTTCTTGTAAATGTAATCGGATGCCATTTTATAAGTGGACGTATTTATACTGGCCAAACATTTTTGACTTTGTATTTCTTTGTCCTTTTTTGGTAGTTCTCGTTGTTACCCGCACCATTTTTATGTCTCCTTCACKGAAGGGCTAGAGTTTTAACTTTTAATTTTTTATATTTAAATGTAGACTTTTGACACTTTTAAAAACAAAAAGAGAAGAGAGAWGAAAACGTTTGATTATTTTCTCAGTGTATTTTTGTAAAAAATATATAAAGGGGGTGTAAATCGGTGTAAATCGCTGTTTGGATTTCCTGATTTTAACAACAGGGCCGCTGGTTAGTATCTCACACGCGTGTGCGCGCTCACGCTCACTCACWCTCTCACACACCCACGAATCAGCCCCTATTTTGTCCATGTTTACACTCCAATCTGCAGGCATCTTAAAGTGACAGCATCCCTCAGTGCCCCCGCCGCTGCCCGCTCCGCAGCCCCCCGCCTCTCCGCGGAGGGGGCGGGAGGGGCCGGGGGGAAGGGATTTACACTGTAGTGCTACCGTTTTGGGGAGCCACCTGTCCCCAGATGAAGTGAAGCAACTGGTGCATTTACACAGAAGGGATCCTGTACCTTTGACTTGTAAACCACATCTTTTGCACTTTTTTTCTGAGCAAAAACGTGCCGTTTAAACCACTGGATCTATCGAAATGCCGGTTTGAGTTCGCGACACTATGTACTGCGTTTTTCATTCTTGTATTTGACTATTTAATCCTTTCTATTTGTCGCTAAATATAATTGTTTTAGTCTCTTATGGCATGATGATAGCATATGTATTCAGGTTTATAGCTGTTGTGTTTAAGATGAAGAAAGTGAAAACATCTTTGTACATTTAAGTCTGTATTATAATAAGCAAAAAAGAAGATTGTGTGTTTATGTATGTTAATATAACATGACAGGCACTAGGACGTCTGCCTAATGAGGTGGTTCCGTTAAGGGTTTAACTTTTTTGTTCTTTTTTTTTGTTTTTTTTTGGTCATCCATCCTGTGCAATATGCTGTGTAGATTTTTTTTTTTTGGTCTACGATCACCCACAACACAACGTGGGGAAAGGAAAAAAAAAAATCATGCCAGCTAACCATGTCAAGTTCACTGCCTGTCAGATTGTTGATATACCTTCTGTAAATAACCTCTTTTTTTTT